ACTTGCCTGATGTGATCTGACCTAGAAATTTTCAGTTATGAAGAAATTGATGTTTTTGAGAAAAAGTCCTGCTTTTGCAAGCAAGTCATGATTGTTCTGTAATCTTTGATGTCACTGTTGAGTAGTCTCACTAATGATGCCATCAAATATCAGGATTCTTCCTATATGACAGTGGAGCAATCTTATTTCATTTTTACCTACTTTCTGTTTTTCATGTGGTTCAAACCAGTCCCACAATGACTTTTTTTGGGCAAGAAAGGCAGCTGAACCCAAGTCCTGTCCAGTTCTGGTTCAATGTCATCACTAAGACTTTTTATTTGATTTTTAACCACTTTTTGTTTTTCCAAAAATTACTATTATAGGCAAACCCCAGTTCAAAGCAGTCCTAAAATGACCTTTTTTGGGTAAGAAAGGCAGCCAAACCCAAGCCCTATTCAGTCTTGGTTCATGCCATCACGAAAAACTTTTTTATTTGATTTTTACCCACTTTTTCCTTTTTTCAAAAATTACCATTCTGGGCAAACCCAGTTCAAACCAGCCCGGAAACTGCCTTTTTTGGGCAAAAAATCTAAGCTCTGGTTCAGTTGGGGGTTTGAACTGGACCTGGACATCACTAATCTTCACTAAGCAAAGTTTTTTATTTGATTTTTACCTACTTTTTGTTTTTCCGAAAATTACTATTCTGGGCAAACCCTACCTCAAAGCAGTTCTCAAATGGCCTTTCTGGAGCAAGAAGGGCAGCCAAACCTGAGCCCTGGTTCAGTTTAGGCTTCAACCGGACCTGATCATCACTAATTTTCACCAAGACTTTTTTATTTAATTTTTACCCACTTTTTGTTTTCCTGAAAATTACTATTGGCTCTCAATAACACTTTTTTATCTGATTTTTACCCACTTTTTGTTTTTCCGAGAACTACCATTCTGGGTTCAAAACAGTCCTAAAATGGCCTTTTTCGGGAAGAAAGGCCAAACCTCTGCCCTGGTTCAGTTTGGGTTCAAACTGGACAAGTTTTATTTAATTTTTATCTACTTTTTGTTTTCCCAAAAATTACCATTCTGGGAAGTGATGTGTCGGCTGATATAATGCAACAAAATATTTTTATTTGATTTTTACCCATGTTTTGTTTTTCCATAATTGCCATTCTGGGACATAATTCAATGATGAGGCTGCCAAATGTCAAGGATAAGTACCAGACCTATGCAGAATTTGAACTTGATCATGTTTCAGACTCTAGACATATTTCTGAGATTTTATTTGAATTTTACCAACTTTGCGGAAATTGAACTGACACTGCCAGATTTTGAGTTTTGCACATTCCAGAATTTGAGTACTGCTTTCAGGACGTACAAGCCATCAACAGACATGCCGCGACAATGTACAGTCTAGACCATCAAAAGCTCAAGCTCCGATCAAATATTCCGTGAAGGTGACCATTGGTCAGTCACATCACATCCATACTCTCTTTCTCCCCTCATCCTTCCCCCCCTCGTCGTCATTATGTCAGTAAGTGTTATTGCTTGCCCTGCATTGGAGCTGTGTTCTGGCTCTGCTCATAGGCTCTCAGCGAGTGCCAGTGGCCATATATACCCGGGTCTGCACCAGTTGCAATTGGCTCTGTCGTCGTGGTGTATCGCTTGACCCATGTCTAAGTGCTGGTAGGCTCCCACTAGCGCTGTCAGGCTCTCACTGTCCCCCGGTGAGTCTTTTCTTCTTCATTTTTTTTGTTCCCCTTGCTGCGCTGCTCTTGGGGGGGAAACCCTGGCCAAAAGTTGAAGAAAGTGCAGAATGGGCATAGGAACCCAGAGCACGCGTCGGAATATCTTAATTGACGCGTTTTCGGGTACATCTCATGTTTTCTCCAGCCAAAATTATTGTAAAAATCGCGCAAGTCCGAAATTAAGTGTTGAAAGTGCAGTCACGTGATCGCGTGGACTTGGCATGGAAGAGGACACACGTCGCACGCACGTCGGCGCAGGCAGGCACGTCGCACATCGGCGCAGGCACGCAAACATGTTTATATAATATATTGTATCTGCAGGTCGCATAAACTATGGGCAAATCGACAAGTGCCTCCAGCTCCAACTGTTTCCCCAGCTTCCCGGCCAGCACGAGGACACGTTGGTCACTGCCCCAAATGAGGCCTTCGACATGGTCACGAGCATAGATGGAGACGAATGCGATTGCGGCTGAGATGTCGAGTTTGGATTCGGGAAGGGAAGTTGACTGGGCTAGTGCAGAGGCTATGGAGGCCCGCGTTGAGGTTTTTTGTGAAGGCGAAAGGCTTTTCCATGCTGCAGGTGATGGGTAGGGAGGAAGACGGAACATCACAAACCGTCACAGAAATTTCTTGTCTTCGCTCCACGATCTACCCGGTCCTGTTCCGGTCGTACTTCCTGCCACATGCAAATTGGACAAAAGAAAAGGCCGGCATCGGCAAGAAGGATATGCATATAAAGCGCGTTGGGCACTCCGGATTATCATGGCGACGACTCCTGTGTTTCTAATCACTGGGTGCTCCAGCGGTCTCGGGTACGAAATGTCTAGAGGTACGAGTTGTTTTTTGCTTTTCCCATTCATTGCTCTGACACTGCGACCAAGCCGCGCTTGACCGTGGATTCAGAGTGATCGCCACCGCAAGACGCGTCGAAACACTCCAAACATTGAAAGAGCAAGGCGCCACAATACTCTCGCTCGATGTTACTGCCCCCGCGGCGGATCTGGTAACCTTCGCACAGACGGCGTGGGAGATATAGTGCGCCTACTTTGTTGTCCCACACTAAATGACTTTTAACCAATTCACAGCGGACAAGTTGATTATCTCGTTAACAACGCAGGGTATGTCCAAGGCGGCGCCATCGAAGAAAACACACCGGAAGAAACTCAGAAGCAGTTCAACACCAACGTCTTTGGCGTCCTCAACCTCACCAATGCATTTTTACCCTACCTCCGCAAACGACGGTCTGGAACTATCGTCAACATTAGCTCCATGGGCGGCTCATTAAGCCTCGTCGGGGCCGGCGTTTATTGTGCATCCAAAGCAGCCATTGACTCCTTCTCCGAAACGTGGAGCAAGGAGCTTGCAGATTTCAGCGTCAGGTGCATCTCCATCCAGGTTTGTCTGTGCGTTTTTTATGGCAAAGCCCGCTCATCGGTTATGTAGCCGGGCATGTTTCGAACACCCGTTTCCAACTCCACAAACTCCCAACGCGGGTCCCGCCAAATCCCAGAATACATCGCAGCCAACGAGACAATGGTCGGCTACAACGCCCAAACTGGGACAGAACGCGGTGACCCGGCGAAAGGCGCGGCCCGAATCGTCGAGTTTGTCACGCAGACCAACGAAGATCTACCATTTTGCCTTGCGGTTGGGCCGGACGCGTTTGATAACGTGCGGGGAGCATTTGAGAGGCGCATTGCTGAGATGGACAGGTTCAAAGAATGGAGTATGGGGACAGATTTCGAAGGCTATGTGGCCGACCCTGCAGCTTACACGATCTGAATAATGATTGGTTGTGCCACAAACCACGACCGCCTTTGTCTCTTTTACAGACCCGAATGTTCCGTTAACCGGTCGTAAATTCCCTGCGAAAAAATAAGGACCGCCTCCAACTGCAGGCTTGTTGCGTTGGTGTCCACGTGGTTTTCTTTTCTATGCATATTACTCGAGAAGAGTAGAGGTAGGCGAAATTAGGTATGTACGTAGCTCTATTGTGCGTTCTGTACCCCACTGTGCTGCTGCTCGTAAACATTTGGCACCAGCAATCCCAGTCCTATCCGGTCCGAAGCACTCCCTCGCTGACAAGTCTGCCCCAACACGACATAATTGGAATCCGACGGGAATTCTGGTGCCTCGTTCAAGGAGCTTGAGCTTCCCCTATGGCGTATTTGGCTGTTCTGGTCAAAGACGTGTTTTTCGAGGAGCAAACTTCGCGGCCTCCATGGCACTTTGTTGGCCATCGATGTGACTATATTTCCTGCCGATGTTGCATCTGTCGTATGATACGGTATATCAAAAAGGACTGGATAGGGTTAACGTTACTAACCAAGTTTGCCATGCACTACGTCTTTGTAGCGCGCCACCGCTTGCTGGATTTTCCAGAGACGATCTTGTCCTTGGAGCTTTCGGGAATCGGCCTGTTTCATCACGATTTGTGCTTTGAATCCAAAAAAGCGATATTCAAACGTATCTCCTGCTTCTCCGTGCCCTTCGCGGTCTTCCTCGAAACCACGTATAAACGGCGTGGTGAGAGCGAAAAATAGAGTTTTGGTCGTTGCGTGAACAAGCTCGTGTGAAATAGTAACGACAAACATGAAACGCAGCCATGCGTGGATTTCGTTTGGGTTGGTGCAGGTAGACGGTGGCTTTGAATCCATTAGGTACTTCAAGACTTCAAACAGCTGAGAATACTGACCCCATCTCTGATAGCAGCGACCAAGTCACGATTGATGTAAATGACGTTTTCATCAGCCGCTTTGTCGACCAAACCCCAGCTGATCTTCCCTTTGACGTCTGCAAGCCGTTTGAAAACGATATGAGGGGGATTTCCGATGACGAAGTCTCGTATTTCTTGTTGGGTGATCTCCGTGGTTGCGCCATGGTTTTCACGAGCTTCAGCTCCTTGGTCCGTGCGAGCAATCCGCCTAGTGATCTCCTCTATATCTGCCAAAGCAGTACCGTAGGCTAATTGCCGGATGACCAGCAAGACAAGTTGGTGCAGTAGCGCATAACGAACATGATGTGTCACCAACTGACGCTGCCCATTCTCCTCCTCTACGGATAATTGGAAAACTGGATCGGGCCTTTGGGGTAATGGAGGAGGAATGACCGCAGGGTTGGTTGCAAGATATTCTGGGTAGGTCAAAGAATCATCAGACGAAGAAGGCATGGTGGTCTAGGTTGGAATTGGATGTCTCACTGTGACCGTGACTCCGTCATGCTTGAAGACCATCCGACATGATTCAGTCTCGAAGTCTATAAATTTAAAATTACACCCAAAACCTAAGGCTGAAGGACTGGCCTCCTTTCGAATCTAAGCGGAATATCGCGTGCCCCAAGGGTAACCACAATATTCGCATGCATCACACGCTCTCCCCACTGCTTCTCGGTCTCCCCTTCCTTCAACAATGGCGTGACTTTCCAGTCGCGCAAAAGCAGTGCAAGGAAACATGTCGCCTCCACCGTAGCAAATCGCCGTCCCAGACACGCACGCGGTCCGATACTGAAGGCAGTGAAGGCCTCAGAATCAGCCGGCAGCCCGTACCACCGCGACGGGCGATACACTTCAGGCTGGTCAAAGTACCGGGGGTTATACTCTGTTAAAGATGTCATTAGTCGCGGTTGCTAACGATAAAAAAGGACACCCACGCAAGCCAATCATGTCTACAATCAGCTGTGTGCAAACCATGAGCAATCCAAGAATGAAGATAGGCAACTTGAAATCGTGCCTGAGTTCCTTTCTGTATAGGCACTGAAGTTGTTCCTTCCTCTCCAACAGGGTTTTGAACTTGTAGGATCGTGTCCTCCGACGCTTCTCGAATTAGAACGTGTCCAGCAGCTATGTGGGTCATGTACTGGGTGCAATAGTACAAAGAAGCAGCTTACGGAACATTCGGGCTGCTTCGTAGAAGATGGCTAAAACCTTATCAAGCTTGCCGTAGTCGTCAAAGATCTGCACGTTGATTACACGCTTCATCAAGAATATGACAATGCTCACGGGATCGCGTTCCGAGCCAACGATTTCCAGAATTTGCTGGAGAACCTCTTCTTGAATGTCCTGATGGAGAGCCATAAAGCCAAGTGTTGCCGCAAGGGTGTGAGCAGTAGTCTCGTGGCCAGCGAACATCAAGACGAAAATATTGCCAATCTAGCACATGCTTGTGAAATTGAACAGTGTCCAGATGTAAAAAGTGCTTACCAGTTCGTCATCGTCGAGCGCGTACTTCCCGTCCTCATCTTGGTTAGCTTTCACAAGCATAGTAAAGGCATCAGACTGCAACTCCTTGCCGGACGCGACATCTTCTTGCCGCTTGGCGATTTGTTCGTGCATGAAGGAGATGAGCCGCTCCCGAGCTGCCCTAACGCGCTGAAGTCTAGCAAATATGAGATTTAGTCTACGGTCTTCTCGCTGGCTTACTTCGCAATTGGGAGGCGGAAGATCCATTTCGGCAGGAATAACAGGAGCATGTTGTGTTCAATGACGAGACGAAGCGCTTCTTGTATCGGCATTGTTCCATCCTTGCTACTGGGAGGTACCGCCCTGGTTCGGTCGTCGAATCATATCGCCAGGTGTAAGAACAGAAAACATGCGCACCATGTTGACGGGAATCCGAATCCACAATTGATGATAACAAGAAAGGCAAACTGTGAAAAATCAGCGTTGAAATCGAATCATCAACCCATCTCACCTTGAGCATGTACTGCTGTACCACAGGAATGTCCACACTCTTCCGCCCCTCCCGATCCCAGCCTTCTACGTTCATCATGTCGTTGTAAATATCTCTGCTTTTCTTCCAGACAAGCTTGTACCTATACCATTATGGGCGGCTTGCTGTAGAGAGAAATGGGGACTTACAGATCCACGCCAAAGGCCGGCCCCACGACCCGCCTGTGCTTGCGCCACATAGAGCCATCAGCCGCAACAATGTTCATGCCCCACATCCTTGAGGTCTTCAATCACCAACACCCGAAGCGGTCATAATAGTACTTACAACAACACCTGGCTGCTCCCCTCTGGCTTGAACCATTTGCTCCGATGTGAGCCGACAGCGACTTGACGCGCGATGTCGACGTTGGATGTCCAGAGATTAGAGATACCCGACACAAGTGGGACGAGTTGGACGGTCTCGGCTTCGGCATACGCTAAGCAACCGTTAAGAGGCTTCAATTTGAACCCTTATCGCACGCACTCTTAAACCGACCAGCCCAGTGCCAGTCAAGACCACTATTCCAGGACGTCGTTGGGAAAAGCAGGCCAGGCAGGGCGAATGGTTGGAAGATGGAGTATACTCGAGGGAAGTAGGCGGTTGTCTGGCCTTGGATGAGTTTTCCGCATCGATTATGTAGCAAGAATACGTACGCGGAGGAAGTTGACGAGCTTGAAGGCATTTATGACCGTGTAGACACCTAGGATCGCTGCGACGGCCGACATGGGGTGGACGACTGACCCCAGAACAGAGAGAGGCGAGGACGCAGAGGCTGCCATTGGCAGATAGTCGACAACAACGACGTGTCAGGCTTGGGAACAAGAAGCGTGCGAGCCGTTGTATTGCCGTACGTATTACGGTGGACTTTGACCAACTGTTGTTCGACATGGTTGTTGAGGGAGAGAATGTCATAAAACTTGATCCGTTCACGAGTTGTTGTTACACGGTAATAAGTGAGTAAGTAGTGCAGGAGTTCAACATTTTTGCAAGCAAGGCTGGAAGGGTAGTAACTCCGAATCGATGGCTCTACTTAGTAGCAACTTTGGGCCTGTGATATTACCCAACAAAAATCTTATTCTACATACTAATCTTGTCGAGTCTATGTATCCCAGTCCAAAAGCCCGCACTAGAAAAGCAATTTACCGACCAGTGCGTGGACCCGTCTTCATTTCCCAAACTCCCCTCCTCCCTTCCACAAACCCATGCAGGATACAATCCGTGCCCAAGAAATCGACCTTCACCACCCCCCCTTTCATCACGTCCAAGCGATTGGCTGCCCGCTCTCTATACGCCTCCGCGATGCGCTCCCTGTCTCCCGCAGAGAGCACACGATTGTAAAAGTCGGTCCAGTGTATCGGCGTCTGCAGCGCGGCAACAAGCTGCTCCAACACATCTTGAATCAGAACCCCGTTCAACGGTGAGGTGCTTGCGCGAATGTCTATGGTCCAAGGCAAATATTCATGCGTTATCCGAATGCAATCGACAGGGAAATAGCTTGCGTTCTGCATCAGATCGGTCTCGTTTGGCGGATGCTGGTTCTTGCTCGTGAGAAACTCTAGCGAGGATGACGGGTCGAGGAGGGGGAGCCCAGTGCGCAAGTCCAGAGACATGACAGGCGTAGTGGTATTGGGCATCAAGAGGGTGTGAATGAGATTACAGCGCTCGACGGGGGGCGGATTTGTTTCTGCGCATCATGAGTCAAGGATATAACTGAAATAGAAACAGCTTTTACCTGCTTTACGAAGCATGGAAAGGCCTTTCCAGCGACCGGGCGGGACATAATCGCGGCGCCAGTCCGCAGGTCTTCTTGGCGGGCTCCTGCGGTCATAGTACGCTGTTGTGAACACAACAGGCTGGACAAGTGGCTGGGGGAGAAAAGGCGCCGGTGTTTGCGGAGTTTGCGGGTTAAATGGAACCATCGGCCATGCTGGTGTGTGGCTGTTGTCCACAAGAGGGGGCATATCGAGGTGTCGGTCTACCTGGTGTCGGTCTATGTGATGTCAGCAGTAGTTGCTTGCTGAAGAGAGCTTTCATACCATCAGGAAAGTCAATCGGCCGTGGCATCATGTCTGTATCGCGAAGTTGGGGCACTGGAAAGCTGTGTGGCCCCCACCAACCGGGACTGGGGTGAGGGTTCTTCATCCACGGCCACAGATGTGCTTGGTGAGGAGGCGGATCAACGACAGCGGGCCACATCGGCGCTCCGTTCACCCAAGGCGATGGGGAATGTGGATTTACCCATGGAGAATGCGGTGGGTGGTCCCAAGGGTCGTTGGAGTGCGGTTGCAAGTTGAATGGCTGCGCTGGTGGTGTAAATGGCCTATCGCAAGCCAATGAACAACGTGTTTCTGTCCTGTCATGGCCGGCTCACTGTTGATAATACGGCCTAAGAGCCCAGTTAATTGGATGTCGAGATAACAACTTCAGACGCACCAAGGATAATGTGGTTGATATTGCGCAGCGCTGGGGTAGTGGCTCATTATTGAGAGCAAGGCGAAGGACAAGGAAGGTTTGGCCGCATTCCGCAATTATACACGTAGTCAGCCGCCACCTTGTTCTTATGCTTCTATTGTTTATGGAAGTTGTGGGCGCCTATTTGTTGGTGTTGCGACCTGGGTTTCCATCGCTCAAAAAACAAGTAAAGCTTCAAACAGGAAACGCCGTCGAGGCTGTGATGTCGCTGATGTTGTTGCTTGAAGGCTTTGGAGTGAGCCAACCACCTCCCATATCGGCGTTGGTGCGGGGAAATTACGAGGAAGGAATGGGAACGAGGTGGCCAAAAAGAAAGTTTGTCACACTGCATCATGTGTACATACGTGCCAGAGCCCCCAAGCAGTGCTGATTTTTACTGTCTCACTCGCTACTTGCTCGCTACCCTTCGCTACCTCACTGATGCATGAGGCATTACGTTCGACAGCAAAAGTCAGAGCGAGCTCAAGAGCGGTGGGTCACGTGATCAAACTCAAGTAGACTCTTGCCTACTCTTCCACACTGTGATCAAGTATATATGGGTACAAGACTGGGTGAGGGTACACATATTCCTGGGTCCGTTTATGACATAAACGAACCTAAGCCGTCTGTCCATTTTTCTCAAACCACACACACTAATAGCAGACTATTAGCAGTCCTGCCTAGCTCGGTGGAAGTCAAAAGAAATAACCACGTACAACGTCGCCTCTTGCGCTGATACATATCGCAAGTCCTGGCCACCCGATTTAGCTTGCTCCTTGCGCCCTCCCCTCGTCGGCCGACATCTCTTCGACGAAGTGCCAACCAAACAGCTAAGTCATATTGTTCTTCTGCTTCCACTCCAAGAATACCTCCATGAAATCAGCGACCCCGCGATATGCAAACGACAAGAACATTAGTCGCAAAAGATCATTGTTGCCCCCACTGGCTTTCTGTGCATCCTTGAAATCTTTCCCCAATGCCACCAATCTGGTATTCCACGCCGATAGGAAAGATACACATGGGGGCAGAAATTTTCCGTAGAGTTGGAAATCATCGTCTCTGATTTCCTGTTGAATATGGCGTGTCGCCGTAGCTCGGCGGTTCGTGCCCAACTGTTGGCGTAGGAGTGTCAGGTGGCTTAGTTTGACTTTATCTCGGAATACTGCAGCCCATTGACAGACATAGAACACCGCGCGCAGATCGTCGACAGGTGAGTATAGGTGACCCTTTCCTGCCTGAATGTCATGGAGAAGAAGATCAGACATGAATTCTACAGTGCCCTACAACGGATGAGACGTTGAGCCAGTACTTAGAGCCTTGCACCTTACCGAACGCGTGGAATTTCGGGGAGCATCGAAATGGTGCCACTTGACTGCATTATCACCATCAATAATGAGGCCGGATGCATCAGATCCCACACCCAGGGTTTCGAGTAGGTCTTTGACGCGTTGTGCTTGCTGTCGACAATCGATCTGCGAACCACCCGAAGGGCTCAAGCCGAGATGTCTAAACTGGGCAATGAGGTCGTCGATGGCGTCAGGCGCGAGTCTCAGATCAATCTCGAATTTTTTCATCGCAACAGCTTCTGCGAGGCGAAGTAGGTTCCCTATGCTCGGATCCCGGTGGAAATAGCCAAGTTGAAACATCGCAAGCCATCCTGCCAATCACTAATCAACGTATGAAGCCAGAAACTACTAGTAGACCCACCAAGTAAAGTATGGAGGATTGCGACAAAGAGTGCGAGAGGATTTGGTGAGGAAACAAGAGACGACCCAATTGTGTCAAACAAATGGTAGAGCTGACTGCGCCATTCTGGTTCTGATGGGACAGTCTTACTGAAAACAGACCAATGAAACTGTTGGAGATCCATAGCCTCTTCGGGGGTAGGGAGAAGAAGGTGGTTCGTGAAGGGGCCGGAAGTTTCGTCAGCCGGGGTACACGAATAGTGGTGTCCTGGGCAGCCAAATAGTTCATCGCAGGCCGACGCCAGCTCGTCTTCGATGTTTTTCCAAGTCGGATTGTCTCGATCCCAAATCGACTTGAGTATCACTTGTTTTTCCTCTTCCGATGTGCTCAATGGCTTGGTGAAAACCTTGGATGCCATCTTGAGTTCTCCAAGTGGATATTGGGCGATTTTTGGTCGGATTTCTGGTGGGAAATCAGCATCAATCTATGAGAAAGGAGTCCCTACTGACTTTTTTCAGCGGTAACGGGCTGATCTGCATTGCTATATGAATATATTTTCCTGGCCAAAAGAAATCCGCATACCAATGACATCTTCTTTGTTTGCTAAAATGTCGCTTGCACCGGATTTGGTATCGGAGACGGTCGAAGCTGGAGTCTGTGGACGACGAGCTGTGGCGATGGGGGCGAGATCGGCGACGGGGCGTTTATTAGGGTATGAAAGTTTGAACACGTTCGTAGCACGACCGCGACAACACATCGCACTATGCAAAACCTCCTCAATGTTTGCATGCAATGACTTTGCGTTTCCTCCGCCAACTGGCAAGAGCATTTCAACCCCATTGTACCATGGCGGCAAGCCGATATCACCCACCGTCTTGCATGTCAACAAAGCCATCCAGATCCACAGCATTTCCTCTTGGCCGCGTTGCGTGACAAGCGACAAGGGCTTTGAGCATGATAGCCCACCGCGATGAAAGAGCAGAAATCTGAAGTCCCACTCGACAGGGTTACATGCGAGAACAAGGGCATAGACACGCAGGGGATTCGCGGCGAATAGAGCATGCCCATATGTGGCTGCTTGTCGCAGAAGCTCGGGCCATTCATCTTGGACTTCCAAAGGGATGCCGATCTGGATGTCGGCAGCGTTCGGTGGCAGGGGCTCTGTAGCACTCGGGGGGCACCAATAGAAGCGCTTGTTTCGCCAGTCCTCACCACTCTGCGAGTCAGGGGGCGATACGCCAACGATATCAGGCTTTAATGACTTTTCGCCTTCAATACCGTCTTGTGTGGGTCGGTCATAGACGAGGAACTCGAGCTTTGAATAAATCGATGTTTCGGCGAGATCCGGACATTTCGACTTTACGAGGGCCAGACAAGCATTCAAGAATTCAACAAGTGGGGTGCAATCCTGTTTGCCCTCTATACCACCCTTAGCGGCTTGGAATCGCGAGATGAAGGTGCTTGTGTCGAGGTCCTTGCGGCACTTCTCGAAAACCTCCTGAAACGCTGGTTCATCGACGGCCAGGTCGTAATAATCAGCCCGGTCGATGTCGTCAGCAATTTCCATCCTCTGTTTCACTTCAAGTACGTCCGCAGAGGTTTTCCTCGTCCTTTGGCACACCCTTGTTGCGAATCTCATTGGGGAAAATTCCCACACGTGGTTGCGAATCTCGTGTTCAAGTACGCTCTTCAGGTCATCTTGGGTGACAGGAGGTGATGAGCAGTCGCTCTGCGTACTACGGGACCGAGTCATTGGTGAGAGTCGCCGGATCCTCTGACATGTGGAGAGGGGAGAGATCAATGAGATGAGAGATGAACCCTATTGTACACGTGACCTGATGCAGGAACAAGCTTCGGTCTGACAGAACCCTACTCTGGTACAGAGTCGCGGAAGACGTCTCGAGCCACAGATTAATATTGAATGTAAACGTGTTTTGTACAAATGCCATGAATCCAAACAAATCCCGAGAGCAATAAGTATCCCAAATGCAAACAAAACAAAGCTTCAAAGCTTGCCCCCCAGTCCGGCTCTGACTGGCGGTCCTCTACTGAGCTCCATACCGACTTTCTGCACAAGCTGCATGCCAAGTGGCTCCAAAGCCTCTTCCCAAACACTATGCCTTCTCCGCCCGTTGAATATCTGTCGCGAGCGCTCGCCAATTTCGCCCTCTGGTCCGAAGACAAACACCGAGTCCGCTCTCCAAGGGGACTCGCCATAGGCAAAGGCGATCCATTTCTCCTGCATCGCGTCCCGCACCCGTTTGTAAGACCACTCGTCGACCTGTGGCTCCAGCCACATCTCGTCCTCCTCCTCGTCCGAGTCAAACTTGAGATCGTGGGCATCGTCATCGTCCGAGAGGTCAAACGAGTCGCAGAAGTCAATCACTGATGAGCTGCCGTTGGGTGTCGCGAATGACTGAGGGACATTGTCGAAGAGATAGACCAGGTCTGCCTTGTGGCTGACCCGAGAAGGTCCAGCGGCTTCCTGGTCGAATACGTAGCGCCAAACGCCCGCATCAGTCCCCGCACGACGATGGCGAGCACGTGCAGCCACAACTTCCGTGGGCCACGCTATGCGTGCATCAGCAATGAGCTCCAACACACGATCCACAATCTCGTCGTCCGGTGTCTCAAAACCGATATCGTATTCTTCCAGCAGTCGCGTTGCTTTTGCTTTGGATTGGCAGATGGCATTGATCCGGCGAACGACGGCCTGCGAGGTCCAAAGTGATGCTGGTAGAGACCAAACAAGAGAGGGAGAGGCGGTGTCACCAATCATCAACGATTGGAACTTTCTGGGTGTTCTTGAAGGAGATCTACCGTGGCGTGTTCTCGAGGGAGGCCGCAGACTGTGACGGAAATGATGCGAGGAAGAGCCGTCTTCAGGCATAAGATGGGAACGCCATTCAGGCATAAGATGGGAACGCCATTCAGGCATGAAGAAATGGCCGTCGTCAACCGCACGAAGCATTGACCCACAACTGTGCTTCATCAACTTGTCGGCGCTGACGCAACGCAGTTCATCCACCGTTTGAACGTCGAGACTGGACATAACCCGGGAAACATGCCAACCGGCGCTGACAACGTCAGGAATACTATGATCGATAATCGCGCTCTGAACGATTCCTCGTTGAAAGAGTGGGTTGTGGTCGTTGGCTTTTGATTGCATGTGGTAAAGGATGTCCGCAGCGCCAGACGACTCGCCGAACAAAGTGATGTTGTTGAGGTCACCGCCAAACTCTTGAATATAGCGGTGTAACCATTCTAATGCACGTCGTTGGTCGCGAAGACCTGCAAGGAGTCAATGATGGAATCAGTCATAACATCAAGAGTCACCATAGTTCCCAACGCCAACATCTTGTGCAGCTTCGTTGTCTTCAAGAAGTAGGGGACTAGCAGCAAAACCAAAGAATCCGATGCGGAAACTATATGAGGAGGTCAAATTATGAGGAGTTAGTTATAGGAGTGGCTCACTTAAAAGTAACGACCATCACGGGCTTTCCGGAGAGCATGCCTTTACGCACGATGGAGCCGCCGTCGTATATCCACGAAGAGCCATATCCTCTGTCTCCACCTCTGGCCGTTTCCGTCAGCAGTTAGCAACAGAGCATGGAGCAGATGACGCACCCATGAACCCACAACATAACAGGAATCCGAGATCGTGGAGTTAGACCAGCAGGACATGTAATATTCAAATTGAGGCATTCAAATTCGTTTTGTTCGAGAATGTGCTGTGGAACGTCGTGGCCCATGCCGAACAGTTCCTCTTCGAGGCTTTTCTTCTGCAGCTGCGGACATATAGGCCTGTCCCAGATAAGACGCCAGCTTGCAACGAGGAGCTTAATAACATACCCATACTGAGTGCAGTCCACAAGGGCGGGAAGATCCGTATTCAGACACGACTGGCGAAAACGTGCAGGTATCGTGGCGTATTTTATTCCTCTGAACTGGTGTATGGGAGCTTCAGGGGTGGAGGAAGGATGCCAGAGACCATGGAAAGTTGTTTTAAGGCCTGCATGGTGGACAACAGGCTCCATTTGAGGGAGGGCAGCACCAGGCATGGTGGTTGAGAGTAAGGACGTGACTTCTCGGGAGCAACAGGGAGGTGCATCGCATACAATCGATGATGTCTCTGAATCGGAAAGGGACCTTGAAGAAACTTGGTGGTCCGGCCGAAAAAGGAAAGTCCGTGCCGTCATCGCTTCTAGATCATCGATTGGTCGGATTCTCGCCTAGCCGGGGCAACGTCGCTCAATGTCGGTGATTCACGAGCTACAGTCGAGCTTCTGGGGGTGGAAGATAGATGATGGATGCACAGGGGGCCGTCGGGGAAAAGACCATATCTATGACACAGACCCGCCGTCATAATACTACAACTAAGTAGATCGTGATGACAAGATTGCGTCGTCGATGGTGGGGGTGGAGAACACAGCTGCGTTAGCGTGATCAGCGACGAATAACAGGAATAAAGGCGTACGAACCACCACCATATGCTTGAATGTCCCCATATCACTGCGCTTCGCCGCCGAAATGAATGAAAAAATCGCGTGCCAAGCCAACAAGACTCGTCACAATAATACTGAAGCTAAGAGGCTCTTCATCCCATCCTCGGTCCAAACATCGTTCCATTCAAGAAACAACTATAGACGAGTGCGAAATTTGGGGGAGGTGGTGGTCGTAGGAAGGAAGAAATCTGGAGCATGATCATCGATAGCGATTGACGATAACCATACCCATCAAAAACGCACGTGACGTCCGATCTCTCTCATCAAAACTTTCATCAACTTGGAAACCTCCAACAGCAATTGAGCAAAGCACCGTTTGGCGTTCGTTAGGCCTCTAGTCAGCTGTGCATGCGCCATGCTCTGCATCTCCTGAAGCGGAGCCAGGGACTTCTGGGCAGCGCTGGCAATCTGGAGTCGAAAGCATTTAAATTGACAAATAACATCCAACTCCAAGCAAGAAACATACGCTCTCGCTCTCAAATTCTCCTCAGGCTCGGCAATAATTGTTGTTGTACTTCAACAGCAAATCTATATATATCTATCCTGGGGGCCATTTATTCCGTCAAGTTGTCCCAATCGTTCTCTTGCCAGTGAGAGGAAACTTCTTCTATCAAAATGACAAAATTCCCCACGGGCCGCCGCTCCTTGATCAAACTCTGTGCTCCACGTTCGCTTCAAAGTGACTCATTTCGGTCATTTTAAGCGGACGGATCCCATGAAGTTGTTCAAGTTCAACCATGACTACCTCACTTAACAGCGACACAACAAAGCCTACGAAACAAATTCTGGTTCTAGGCGCTGGATTTGTAGCCCGTCCGTGCGTCGAATATCTCGCCCGAGAGCCATCGAACAAGATAACAATTGGTGCGAAAGAGGGAGCAGTTGGTATATACGGCAACTGATGTTAAAATTTCAGCTTGTCGCACCCTTTCTGCCGCTGAGGCCTGCGGAGCTGGCTTGCCTTCTATTTCAGCTATTTCTCTCGATGTTTCGGACACTCCGACACTGGAAGCAGCCGTCGCCGCACATGACCTCGTTATCTCGCTCGTCCCTTATACTTACCATGCCACCGTGATCAAAGCCGCCATCCAGGGGAAGACCAATGTCGTTACAACATCCTACGTTTCTCCGGCAATGCGAGACCTCGAGCCGGCAGCACGGGAAGCAGGAATCGTTGTTTTAAATGAGGTCGGTGTGGACCCTGGCATCGACCATCTCTACGCCATCAAAGTCATCGAAGACACCCACGCAAAAGGTGGTAAGGTGCGAAATATTAGCTATTGCCGGTCATGTTCCAACGCAAAAACAAAACATAGATCAAAGAATTCTTCTCCTGTTGTGGCGGTCTCCCCGCTCCAGAGGCCACAAATAATCCACTACGATACAAGTTCTCGTGGTCTGTGCGCGGTGGCCTTCTTGTTTGCTTTACCCCTGCCTCTGTACTCTCCTCTGGAGTTGTCAAGCACATATCGGGAGCCGATCTTATGCAACATGCTCATCCTTACTCAATCCCCCCGAATTTCTCGTTTGTTGCTTTCCCAAATCGCAACTCACTTCCTTTCCAAACATATTACAATATCCCGGAGGCAGAAACTGTCATTCGAAGCACCCTTCGGCATGAGGGCTTCACCGAATTCGTCATCGCATTCAGCAAACTTGGTTTATTGGACAGCGAGCCCAAGGAATGGCTCCAAGACGGGATAGAATGGCGGGAGCTAACCCGACGACTCGCTGGCGCCAATGCTTATGACGAGGAGTAAGTCCGCATATGTACTTGTCAAACATCAGCCTGAACTCGCAATAGGACGCTCGCTTCGCGAATCAAAACCATCTGTTCATTTTCATCCGACCTGGAGAATGACCGCATCGTGGACGGGCTGCGCTGGCTGGGTTTGTTCTCGACAGACAAGGTTCTTGCTCGCAATCATAATTTGTTCGATACGTTCTGTGCCCATTTGGAGGGTCAGATGAAATATCAACCTGGAGAACGTGACATGATCATGCTTCAGCATAAATTTGTTGTCCAATGGGCAGATGGGAAACAAGTAAAAGCTCACTTATACTCCATTCACACCGCTCATTATTCACAGGAGACGATAACCTCGACTCTTGAAGCGTATGGGACGCCAGGTGGTCACTCCGCGATGGCATTGACGGTCGGTATTCCGTGCGGAATTGCGTCGCAACTAGTGTTGGATGGTGTGATCAAAACTCCAGGCGTTCATGCACCTTATTCCAAGGACATATGTGATCCAATTCGCGAGAAGGTTGAGCTTGAGGGACTTGGTTTAGTTGAACGAGTTTTGTAGATCGCCTTGATCCGATCACTGTATTATTTTTTTCACTCTGAACTATGACCTTGGCTGTTTCGGGGTCAAAACGCAAGCTGAAAACCAGATCCACCCCACGAAAACGTCTCAAGACTAGCCACGGGACTGCGGATAGTCTGCCATGGAAGAAGGTTGCGCGACCTCTGGACACTGGGATGGCGGATGACGACGGTATTCTTGAGCTGGAGGAAGTTGACAATGTCGAGATTGTCTACGAAGAGACGGAAGGGGGAAGGGTCATGAAATTCGCCGTGCGTCACCTGGTCCGTCAACAACTCTTTCTAACGCAAGAGACAGGTTGTTCAAAACGAACAAGATGAAGAAGAGCAATCGACAGAAGAGGCGCTTTCGGAGGAGCCGCTCGAGTCTACAAATTACCCTGAACCAGAACCATTCGATGGTACGACAAATAGAGCCCTCAAACTGTGCAATGACCTATTCCTAGCGCTAAATTTGTTACCGAACTGGAATCAGCACCAGCTGCATCCGCAATTATTTCGTGTTCTGCACGCAAAACAATTTCTGTCGCCGACCCCGATCCAAGCGGCAGCATTGCCTATAGCTCTTTCTGGACGCGATGTTGTCGGTGTTGCTCAAACTGTGCGTTATTTCTCAAGGGTTCAAACTCTCTCTAATCTTGAACAACAGGGTTCGGGTAAAACTCTCGCTTACGGACTTCCCATACTCCATCGCCTCCTCACCTCCGCTCGTCAACGGCCTGCGAAATCGAGGCGTCCTCTTGGTGCTCTGATATTGGCTCCCACTCGCGAGCTCGCCTTGCAGGTTTCTTCACATCTCAATGCGTTCCTCAACTCAATCGACACTGAGACCGAGGAGTCGCAACAACCCCGTCCTCCGCCTCTTGTCAGTGTTGCTGCAATTGTCGGTGGGATGTCGGCTCAAAAGCAACGGCGTATTCTTGAACGTGGGGTTGATGTTTTGGTTGCTACGCCTGGTCGGTTATGGGACATAATCGAAGATGTTTGTTCTACTTGCTATATCTTCCAAACCGTTGACAATTCTTGCCAGGATGACGGACTAGCTGGACAAATTCGGAAGCTCAAGTTTCTTGTGCTTGACGAGGCGGACAGGATGATTGAGGCTGGACACTTTGCAGAGTTGGAGAACATCCTGCGTCTCACTCTCCGTGAATCGAAGTAAGTGACCTTCGACTGAACATCCAAGTGTTCATGCTCTATCCATGTAGAGACGACCAAATAGAAGCTGAAACCGAAGAAACCCCCCTTCCTCAAGATGGTCTTCAAACTTTTGTCTTCTCTGCGACGCTCAGCAAAGACCTACAACGAAATCTCAAGCGCCACACACGCCCCAAATACAATGGCAAGAAGAATGCAGGCAAACCAGCCTCAACGTTGGGTGGGTCAAATATGCTTTCATAGACAAGCACTTGGCTTACTGTCTACTATCAGACGACCTCCTGCTTCGCCTCGACTTCCGTGATTCTTCTCCGGAAATCATCGATCTCAGTCCTGAAGGTGCCCTCGTGTCAACCCTAAAGGAGAGTAAAATAGAGTGTTTATCGACCGATAAAGTTTGTGTTTTTAACTACAAACATCAAAACGAGGCTTACTCGGAGACAGGATGTATACCTCTACTACTTCTTGTTGCGCTACCCAGGACGTTCCCTCGTCTTCCTTTCGGCCATTGACGGGATTCGCCGCCTGCTTCCTCTCACCGAGCTTCTGAATATAAAGGCGTTTCCGCTGCATTCGCAACTAGAACAGCGTCAGCGCCTCAAGAACCTCGATCGGTGCGTCAACTCATTTACTCTCTTGCGCAAATCGCTCAAGTTGTTGGACAGATTCAAGTCGACCCCAAATTCTGTCCTTCTAGCGACGGACATTGCCGCGCGGGGGCTTGACATCGCTGCTGTTGACCACGTAATCCACTACCAGATCCCGCGATCGGCCGATGCGTATGTCCACCGAAATGGCCGAACCGCGCGAGCGATGCAGAAAGGATTCAGCATGCTGATGTGTGCGCCGGATGAGCGGCGGATTGTTCGGACGCTGTTGGGAAGTCTAGGACGCCGTAAGTTGCCTTATTCTCGTACCATTGTGTCTCAGCAGGCCGTAGAGGAAAGCGACATTCCCGAAATGGATGTCGACCTTACGTTGCTCGACCAGCTCAAGGCCCGTGTCCAACTGGCCCGGCAGATCGAGACTGCCAACCACAAAGTCAAGAAGGCAAACCACGAGCGGAAGTGGCTGAAGGAGGCAGCGGAGGCGTTGGAAGTCGAGATCGACTCTGACCTGATGAGGTTGGTGCTTTTTTCAATCAATTGTGCAAGTACTTAGTTTTGTTCTGCAGTGACTCGGAGGACGACGAGAAGCCTACAGCACGACAGCACAAGGCCCGCGACTCAAAAAACGCCAGTCTCAAAGCAGAACTGCGAAAATTACTGGCTAAGCCGCTTATTGCGCGAGGCGTGTCCACCAGATATATCACTTCAGGAAGCCAGCCGGTTGTTGATGACCTGCTGGCGGGCGAGTGTGCGTGCTTTTCTTTGGAATGCTCCTCAGAAGCCCGACTAATCGCCCCCTCCAGTTAACGAAGCGATAGTGGGAGTCAAAAAGACGGAGGCAGGAGATGATGTCGTCTTGAGGCGGAAGCGGAAGAAGACGAACAAACCCAAAACGGCCGTCGTATCTCCGGTTGATGATGGTGAAGAGTGGACTGGGATATCGACTGAATAAACTCTTCGTTGCTCCAGACAGAAACCAGATCATTTCGATTGGGGCATCCCGATAACATTCCTCCTGTTCTTCTCGCTTCTGGTTTTTTGCTCTCAAGGGCTTTCTTTATTGCACTGTCCTTATGAATTGATGTTTCGAATCCTCTGCAATATTACCGCGATGGGGCATGCTGTTGGATGGCTTTGACCTGAATACAAATGCGAGGCCACAACATCCAAGGAGATGGTGATGGGGAAATTGCCCGAGTTGGACGGGATCATGTCTGATGTCATGACTTAAACTGACCGCAATGAGACAGGGGAAGCCACTGAATCCTGCTTTGACTCTGTCATCCACATGGATGCACACCTTTCATATCAGGTCTACCTGGCCACAAATCCAGAAGCTATTCCGCCTCCCATGCCGGACCACCCAGACCCCAGCATACGACTCTGGTTTGAGCAAGGAAATCGCCAGCACGAAGTCACCCAGTCTCCTTACTGCCAGCCAGTGTGCGAGCTTGTGTCGCTTGCCCTGCGACAACTCTGCTATGGCCAGGCAGCAGAACACCTTCTTCTTATACTCAAACAGATTGCGGGAACCAGTATTGCAGTGTCACACCTGGGAGAACGGAAACAGCTCGCTGAAGCGGATATTCGTGGATGTCTCCTCGATGAGCCACTTGATTTCGTCCTAAAAAGGCTTCCCGATAATTCCAACGGCAACATCGTCTGGGGAGAGGTTGTCAAAGGAGCGGGAAAAAGTGAAATCGCCATCAACATCGAGTTGGCGGCAGCAATTTGCGATCCTGTGAGTTTCCTTGTCCGAACTGGACACCACTTCCTAATATCTTTCAAGGCTCCACCCACGTTCACGGACTCTAATGCTGTTTCTACTGGCTTACGGTTCCTCCTTTTCGTCACAATCTTCCACGAAGTCGTACATGTCATCACGAACAAGATATTCGTTCAACTCATCACCCCGCCCCTTCCAAGCTTTGAGCAGGATGATGATGGTCATGGAGAGGCGGGTGATACGTTAGAAATGCGATTCTTTGGGTTCATAACTCTTGTCTCCCTCGGACTGGGCGATGTGAATGCGAGCGACCGATTGTGGCGCATTCAAGAGTTCACAGCATATAACAGGATCAATAGGCCAAGTCGCATCCTTGGTTGGTCTAACTCTCTCGCTTTCACTGGTCATTCACCTCTTTTGCTAGATGCTCAGACAATGGAAGCTATTTTGTCCTCTGTCAAAAACATGGAGCCGTGGGGACCGCTATGGAACATACTCCCAGAAACCAACTTTGATCCCAGTACACAACGCCGAATGCGGCGAAACAATCGTGGAGGAGCCTGAGATGGGGATGGGGATGGGGATGACACGGGCAAAGTTGGTCGTTGTGGCAGAGGTCGCACCAGGCAACCGTCTTCTATGGCAGTCCAATTGCACATTTAATTTTTACCGCGCGCTCTTGATGTTGCGCGCTCTTTTGGGCCGGATTTAGTGATTTTCCCGGTAAATCACGGATACCAAAAGATGGCGCGGGAAAAGTGTCCGCGCGCGCTCTTTTTGGAAACGCGCGCACTCTTTTGCCCAAATGCGCGCTACCTTAAAGTTTGCACAATCCTTTATGGCAGCAGATATGTATGGTATTAGCATAGATACTCATACTCTCAATGCCCCCCCTGGTTGAGCAGCTCAGCTTGAAGCTGACCATAGATCTGGATATAGACACTGTATGGTTGCCATTATGGCAGTCCAATTGCACATTTAATTTTTACCGCGCGCTCTTGATGTTGCGCGCTCTTTTTGGGCCGGATTTAGTGATTTTCCCGGTAAATCACGGATACCAAAAGATGGCGCGGGAAAAGTGTCCGCGCGCGCTCTTTTTGGAAATGCGCGCACTCTTTTGCTACTGTTTCTTTTCTACAACTTGTAGATTCCAACTCTCCCTAGTGAAGTTTTCTGACTAGTAGTAACTCTGGTGTCCATGGCTTCCTTCTGACATCACATGAATTGACTCCCTTCAGAGTCAGAGGCTGGCCTGACCCCATGCTGACAAGATTACTGAGCCATATATGCATGCATATACAAGCTTGAATATCTAGTTAGCATTACTGCTGGTGAATGTCAGACAATGAGTATACTGAAGTCTTGTTTGCAGCCATTATGCAGATGCCCTTATACTAGTATATAGTGAGTAATACTCAGTTCTGAATCAATTATGTCAGGCTGAAAGCTGCTGGTATTCTGGCTAGTATTATTGGACAATGACCATACAGTGTCCAATGTCCATGGTCAGCTTCAGGCTGAGCTGAGGGGGCAGTGAGAGTATGAGTATATATACTAATACATAGATTTGCACAAACTTGAAGGTAGCGCGCGCATTTGGGCAAAAGAGTGCGCGCATTTCCAAAAAGAGCGCGCGCGGACACTTTTCCCGCGCCATCTTTTGGTATCCGTGATTTACCGGGAAAATCACTAAATCCGGCCCAAAAGAGCGCGCAACATCAAGAGCGCGCGGTAAAAATTAAATGTGCAATTGGACTGCCATAGTCTTCCGATCTAATGCACACTTCTCCCGCAACCATCAAGTTCGGCTTGGGATTGCTGGATACTTATATTCCCTCCGACGAACCAATAGATTGAAACACACGGTACGTGCCTGCATAGCCTCGTATCAAACTAGTAATGCCTTGCAGCTTGTGAGACACCGAGACAGTACATACATTTGAAAATCGAGCAAATACATAAATCTTTTCAAACTTTTGAGGACCGCGATCCAATGGTTCTCCCTAACGCAAGCCAGGTTGTCCAAAACGATCAAGACGAAGAAGAGCAATCGACAGAAGAGGCGCTTTCGGAGGAGCCGCTCGAGTCTACGGATTGCCCTGAACCAGACCCATTCAATGGTACGACAAACAAAGCCCTCAAACTGTGCGATGACCTATTCCTAGCGCTAAGTTTGTTACCGCGGACCGGTGAGGACCGCGGTGGAACATGCTGCAGGAAACTGGCTTTGACCGGAATACACAACGCCAAATGCGAGGCAACAACATTCAAGGAGATGGCGATGGCGATGGCGATCGCATAGTCGGAGACTCAGGGAAAATCGTAATAACAATGGGTGTTTGCAGCAGATCTAGAGGGCGAGCCAAGCCGTAACCCCTTGCAGAGATCATTCACACCCCTTCCAAGTTGTCAAGGGCTACCAGACATATTCCTCACAGTCCTTCTACGCTTCTCTCAGTTGATTACAGCACATATCAGTACGTCTATGCAACAGAAATATAGAGTGTTGTAACAATAAATCCACATTTATCTTATCAGGAAACTGCTGAGCACACTCAGCCCACAAACAGCCGAACAGATCAGGAATCCGAGTGGGTAGCCTGAGGGGTTGTCTTGTGTGCTCGCGGACCAGAGCTATAAATGTTCCCATCAGCAGTTATACCCGGAGGCTGAAGAGACAAAGACATACGTAGCCGCCGATCACAGGGCCGAAACACCGCGCTAGACTCACGATACTCTGCGCCAGTCCGTTGGCCAAACCCACTGCATTCGGCGGTGTCACTGTGGACAGTTGAGCGTGAAAGAACGCAGAAATAGAATCAAAAGACTTGCTGTAGTTGACGAGAATGGATATGGACGTGTAAGCGAAACAACTGCCACAATACCGCAAAGCACTATAATTGAAAAAGGTGAACGCGGGGTAGGGGGGTCGCGGAGATCTTACGTGCTAAGGACCAACGCTAGAAACACGAGATGATTCAAGTGGAAATAGATGAGAGAAAAGGACATACCGGCCATTAAAACAATACTAGGTTTACTATTACTGTCTGCACTGGCAAATGGTCGGAGCAATGTTACAACAAGGTAGGCTGGTATGAAGAGCGCTGATCCGATTCGGAACATTGCAAGATGGGAGAACCTGCCACGAGGAGGGCTAAGAAAAACATCAAGCTCTTGCACGGAATAAGACTGTGGAGAGGAATACCCGATATGACCGTAGAGCAGGAATTGGTAGAATATTTGGGCGAGGCACATTAGCGCAACTAAAACCAAGGATCAGAAGCGTCAGAGCATTAGCGTCAACTTACTTAGTTGGGCAAAATTACCCGCATCCAGGTTCAAGCCACCCCCTGCATAGTCGCTGTCATCTATTAGTTGGATGGTGGTGACGACTTGATGTGCTCACGTGACCAAGTAGCTAAGAAACACTTGATCGTGTGTTGTCGAATGGAGAGCCAGGATTCCGTATTGTACGATGACAAGAATAGGAAGCATGGACATCAAAGAGGGTGGCGGAGGTTCAAGGGCAGCCTCAGCGTCATGCTCGGATGACTGCCGCGATTCGAAGATCGGCTCTAGACCATCCGTTTCAGTCTGAAGCAGTTGTTGGGCGTCCAACATGGCGGGAGGAGTCCTGACACCAGAATGCGAGAAGATACTCGGCACCGTAGAGAAGCGGCGAGCTCCTAGACTCCCGTCGAGTGTTTGGGTAAATGACGATTGACGAACCGCAACTGGTCGTGGACTTTGGCCCGATGGGCTTCGTGGAGAGCCCAGTCGATTTGGATGGACACTGGTACTGGCAGATGGCCTTCTAGCAGAGGCTCGTGATGCGCGACGTTCTGGAGTCAAAGTGTTTTCCTCAGGATTGTCTCCCGGATCTGCTTCGTCATTGGAGTCCCCCTCCCAATCATCCTCAAAGGGATCGTCGTTGTCTACGTTCAATGCAGAAGCAACCCAGAGATCCGCAATACTCGTGACGGCGTTTTCGTTGGCCATGAGCAACCTCTGAGCAAAATTAAGATCGCTCGTTGTGGAGTCACGATGTCCCTCGACGTTGCTTCCCCTGCGGCGACGAAGGTTACTGCTCAGACTGCCCCTTCTAGCGGTCGCATTGCTTTGCAACCGATTCCGATATGCGCTGCTGTAGCCATACGCAGACCCATTGGCGCGACTCGTTCTTGAGAAAGTTCTTGTTCGGTCAAGTCTCACCGCAGACTGAGGCGATGGCATTTCGAGGTTTGAGGGAGCATCTGGTACACGTTTCGCAAAGTATCCAGAAAACTTCTTGCGGATATTGCCAGCAATGGAGGTCCGGTCATCATCCTCAAATACAGGCGTTGGAGGTCTGGACTCCTCAGTTTCCTCGGGTATGGGGGGATGAGAATCGTGTTTCTCAATGAGGCGGATCGTCCCCTCGCGAGGACCGCCATCGGGACCGAGGAAACAGCCTAGAATCGAGCCTGATGCGATATGTTAGGAGCGGGAATTTTATTTTGATCTCAGTGTCGCACCAATTAGAGTAACGCAGGCCGCAACAGCGCAGGGTAGCAGATACGGGAAAGCGGCGAAGATGGTTTCCTCGAATACCCCGGGCCATTTGAGTGCTGGCCGTTCGACTGGAAATTCGATGAGCTAGGTCAGATGAAAGCACTGCATGGACACACATGCTCCTCCCACGATAGCACCAGCGACACCACCCATACCCCAGCAAAAACTAGCAACTGTCAGCTCGACGAAGTTAATGGCGGAACTCGGTAGATACCCCAAAATGGCATAAGCCCTGGCTTCATTGGTAGAGTCGGTGATGAAAGAAACTGAGCCACGAGCCACACCCACTGCACCGGCAAATACACCCTGTAGAAGCCGAATACAGATCGCCTCCTCGAGGGACGTGCTGGTGCCGAACACAGCGCAAGTGATGGCGCTTCCCAGTAATGAAACCACAAGAACGAATCGCCTTCCGTGCTTGTCAGCAACAGTAGCCTACGGAGATGTCAAGACAAAGAGGGGTGTCAAAATTATTACGCACCCAGAGGATCGCCGTCAGGAATTGCGTTAGGAAGAATGTTGACACTATGTTGACGTTTTAGGTATCTGCGGTTACTTGTTTGGATTGTTGAGGTCACCTAGTATCCCCGTCCAAAACGCGACCTCGGCGTCATCTTTGAACTCTCCAAAACCTGGTAACAGTTAGCAGATGAAATTCCAGTTTGAATACCGCACTTTTGACCATGAACAACACAAATGGTGTTGACACATTGGCTGACAGGAATTCACCAAGCATGGTCTATGGAGATAAGAAATAGGACGTGTAGCAAGTGGAAAGGCGTACAATGGACAGCACAATCATTGACAACACTGGTAATGGTGTTGCGTTTGTCTCTGCCGAAGACTGGATCATATGAGGCATTGGGGGTCGCTCCGCGGTCTCCTGTTCTTCGCTGCGGTTTGTCCAACGCGATGCGAAGCTCGGACGATGTTGGCTGAATGCGCTAAATGAGATTCTACCCATGAGGCGTCTGACTGGTGACTCTGTCGCTAGCTCAGTGTCGTCCAGAGCAGATTCATCGCGGCCAAATGAACGTGGAGGCATGAAGGAAGGAAGTGGTGAAACACAGGCGCGAGTACGGCCGAAAGAGCGCACCACCGTCTTTGGCAAGCCTTGGGCAAAGAAGGCTGTCAATCGCTTAGTTGACATCATCGGTCTTCGATTATAACACACGTCAACAAACCAGATAAGATGAATCGCTCTCCCGCCCATCGCAGCCGATATTCCGCGCCTCGTTGTCGCGTTTCATCGGTACTGCTCAGGTATTTCTCGGCACTGTAGCGGCCGCCGCCCGACATAACGTTACAATGGTGGGTTACGGGAGGTATCCCTTTTTCAAGTCGCCATTCGACCAGTGCATTTTTCAAGCATTTTTTTTCTCGCGTGCCTGGGGTTTTTTTTACTTATTGAATCACGGGAAAGACTGTGCGGTTGGCGAGTGGATACGGTTCACATGCAACCGCCTTGATCATTGTGACCCGCAAGTTCAGCGGTCGATGAATTTTGCATCTCTTGTTGGAATGCGGGCCGAATAGCCCTATTTAGCGTTTAGTTGCACAAGTAAGTAAGTATCTTAGACTGGGTGCGAAGTGAAATCGCCGCCGCCACCTGGCCGCAAAACTTTGCTTAGCCACATGCCGGAAAATGAGCGTGGGAGCCAACACATCACGGAGGTAAAATTTCGTGATCCCCATTTCAAAGTTGTCTTTGACCGTCATGACACATCTCTGTCTATCTCTGTGCTCTCTGCAGCTGAGCCTCCATTCCGTGCCGCACGCAAGAGTCAATGAAACCATCACCAGCTGTACCATTTGAAGGAGCCCGAGGCAAGAATAGCGCAGATTGTTGAAGACTTGAAGCTGAAACAGCATTGTACGCCCATTTGGACAGAAAGTGACTCGATGTTTTACAGGCAGCCCTGAACGACATACACTGCCGAAATAGCAATCGGGAATGGAGCTACCGGCGCGGTTTTCTCGCACTCTCGTCACTCCAAGCCGTGTCACACACCGAATAATTGAACGCCTTTTTACCCGCTGGATCTCGATTGCTGACAACTCGATCGTTTTTGACGCGCGCCGCGCCGCGAAATTATAAAAGCAAGGACTTGCACTCTTCTCTAAACCCGACGCGTCTTTCTCCTCCGTCGCCCTTCCCCTTCGTACCTTTTACTTTCCTTGTCCTCTCTTTCATTCTCCCCAATGGCGTCCTTATCCCAGGAACCCAAAAAATTCGTCCTCCCCGACCTCGTCTCGCACTGTACATTCCCCATCTATGTCAGCCGCCACCGCAAGCAAGTGGAAACCGAGACCAAACGCTGGCTCTTCCGAGGCGACAACCTACAAAATCCCAAAATTCGCTCACGATTCCATGGGCTGAAATGCGGAACTCTTTCGGCAATGTGCTATCCCGACGCTGGCTACCCACAGGTGCGCCTCTGCGTTCTCGCCAAGTGTGGTTCTGACCTGGGTTTGCCCAGCTTCGCGTTTGCAACGACTTCTTAACCTATCTCTTCCATATCGATAATTTGTCCGACGACATGAATAATCGGGGCACGCGGACTACCGCAGACGAGGTCCTTAACTCGCTCTACCACCCCCACAAGTATCAAGGCGCCGCACGTGTGGGCAAGATGACTCGCGAGTACGTCTCGCCTTGCACATATTACCTTGCTGCTCACTCCATGTCCTAGTTATTATAAGCGCATGATTCTGACGGCCGCGCCAGGCACTCAGCAACGCGTGGGTTTTGTTCTTCCTTTGCCAATGCGATCCTCACATCCTCTAGTTCATCGAGACATTCGACATGTTCTTCCAATCCATCACCGAACAAGCCGAAGCCCGGAGTGAAAACGTCGTGCCTGATCTGGAGTCTTACATTGCACTGCGAAGAGACACGTCTGGTATGACCTTTTTTTAATCCGTTCGCACTGTCTGAGTCTGTTTGAAAGGCTGCAAGCCGTCCTTCGCGTTGATGTGAGCGTCAAACTTGTCCGTTCTTGTCCCCTCGCTGATCATACCTCACAGTGAGTATGCCAACAACTTAGACATTCCCGACGAGGTCATGGAGCACCCACTCGTCGCCAGTCTGACGGAGGCCGCCAATGACCTTGTTACCTGGTCAAATGTGAGACATCTCGTTTGTTCAGCTAAAACTTGCGGCTTAACTGATATAGGACATCTTCTCGTACAACGTCGAACAGTCAAAGGGCGACACTCACAATATGATTCCTGTCGTCATGGAGCAGCAAGGTCTCTCGCTGCAAGAAGCAGTCGACTTCGTTGGCGAAATGTGCAAAGCCACCATTGACCGATTCTGCGAGGACCGCGCAGCCCTGCCATCTTGGGGTCCTAAGATCGACCGAGATCTCGCCATCTATGTTGACGGCTTAGCCAACTGGATTGTCGGGTGCGTAACACAGTTCATTGCGATGAAGTGCGTTGTTTAATTGCTTTTGTTCTCCTCAGGTCATTGCATTGGTCGTTCATGACGGAGCGCTACTTTGGGAAGACGGGTGCTAATGTCAAACGCAGCCGCGTTGTTGACCTGCTCCCTCGGCGGGTGTGATCTAAGGGACGAACTTATGGCGAGTTGACAATGTCCTGCTCAATATGCGCGTCTCAATGATTTGTGCCCAGGTTTCTAAACTCAACTAACCCTCTAATAACTCTACTACTCCGGATGGATCTGGATCCTGTCTATTGGGGAAGACGGCGACACCAGATTTTGGTCGCCTGTCTCGCTGTATCACTACTTCGCGCTCTTTTTCCGTGCTTGGACAAAGACGACTACCATATATTCTCAAGTTGTCCTTCTTCTGCTTATCTCTTTCTTCTTTCTTCTGACTCTGTAGCGTTGACTATCTATAGAAACCGTCCTATCCTTTCTGCACATATATCTACTTACCCCACCTTCGTTTCCCCACCTCTAGATTAACTTTTACTTTAGCTACCTATAGTTCCGTATGCCTCGTATGTATCGCCATGCGTCGCACCACTAGTCTCCGGAAATAAAAATGTGGACTTTCTGTGCGGCATGAATATCTTCAACAGCTGTTGAGCTTTTAGATTTAGGCTTGAGCATCAACTCAGTGGCGAGTTTCGTGTGGCTGATGCTTCGCAAGCTGAAACCCAGGATGGGTTTCCGACTTCGAAAGCGGCATGTGGCGGTTTCGACCTACGTCACACGCCGGACTCCATTGACCGCATGTCCGGTTAAGTTTTGATTTTCTCACGGCAATTTGGTTCCGTTCCGTGGATCAAGAAAGCGGCGTCCTGACTTCGAGGACATCTCCAAGGAAATGGGACATATTCTATTTAGCACTCCCGAGGATAATCCAGGCCGTGAATACCTTGCAATTGTGCAGGTGAAACACTGGCAGTCGGAGAATTTTTGTGTGGCTCAATGAAGACCCAGAGCTGTAAAATTGGGCATCATTGTGTTGGCTCCGTGTTCACCTGGCGGACAGGTGGCAACGCCCACAACGTCGGCTTTGTTTTTGTTCTCCCCTCGGCTGTTGGTCAGTCTACGGAGCCCGATTTGGCAATCGGCCATCCAATTTGAGATCCACGTTGAAATGTAGTTGCGATGGTCATTGCAGTTCAAGTGATTGATTGATACTATTCGATGGACTGGTATCCGTAGGGTCCGTATATTTAGACGAGACCGTACACTACAAGTAACTGGGGCCTGGGAATGTCACCCCGACGAAGCGCGCGACATCGTCGTGTTTGACGGGAATGGAGACTGACTGACAACTGTTGCATAATGATAACTGTTCAGTTGCAAGAGCAAAACCAATTGCAAGACGATCACGAGAGTGAGCAAACTCCGCAGTGCTACTATACTCACTCGTTGCGGTGAGCGGGATCGGAGCCGGCGCCGCGCCGTATACCTGCAAAATTGTAGCCGGATATCATATAGTTCCCTGTTTTCCGTGGCTGTCGCGTGGTAAGTGGACTCGGAGGGCAAAGCATATCTGCCAGATTATTTCACCCTTCCGCGACGCTGGGCGGTCACTCAATGCCACTGTCAAGCAAATGAAACGCCCTCGGTGCTGTTCAAGATTGCATCTGGCGGCTCCGCGTCGTTCCCAACTGACCGCGGTGAATCGTCAATCTTTTGTTAGATGGTGAAAGAACGCCAGCCATAATTAGGGCGCGGAACACGGTGCAACTATAATGCCACCGGGTGCAAATCAGGGACAGCCACTTTAGCAGCGCAGCCAACCAACCAACCGTTCACTTGCAGGGAGACAATTGGCCGTGACAGCACCTTGGCAGTCGCCGCGGCTTGCGCGTTGGTTGAGGGGGTCCGATGCACAATCGGACCGCCAATGAGATTCTAGATGGGCAGAATGAAGGCATAGCACATACAGATGTAGCCAGGCATTGCATCCCGTGTTATTAGTCGACAACTGTGTCGTTCTGTTCAGTGCGGCGTTCCATCCGAGTCCAGGAGGGCCTAATGAAGGAAAGGGATCTAAATGATCGCCCCGGCAGCCTTGAGAGTTGAGATGACGAGGCTTCCAGATGCCAGTAGAGTCCGTGGCGACCAGGTACAACTCAGTCGATGAATTTTTGCATCTGCATCCAAGTGTGTGCGAAAAATGCTGTATTTTATCGTTGGTAGTGAGAACATTCCGGTCTAACACCCGTCTGAGAAGTTATTTGACGAAGTTTCGTGGGTGCAGTCGCAGAGAGCTGTGTCGTGGCAAGATGAGTCACGAATTCTTCGAGCTAAGAGGAAATATGACACGTGACCGTATATTTGCTGCTTCGTTCGTAAACCTCCAAAATGGAATCACAAGCGCTGAGCAGTCCCCGAACCAATTAGAACCAAACTGGTGTTGGGCGAAGCCTGATGGCAGACCAAGTCCGAAGCAGCTTTACAACCCAGTCCTGCACCAGCCTGAAACCCGCAGAAAAAGCTCCTCTCGGCGACAGACAGAATGTGAGGCGGGCCAAGTTACAGATCGATTGGTAGTGTACACGCGTGAAATACAGATGCAATAAGGAAGGGTTTATTTCGTGCCTGTCGCACTCGAGAACTTCGTAACCGACTTGGTCTGCAAGACGTGTCAGGGATAGGTGGAGGATCAGAGGCAAGAACTTACCCCTTCGCTGATCGCGTGCTTGGCAAGTTCTCCAGGAAGGATAAGACGGACAGAGGTTTGGATTTCGCGGGATGATATGGTACTCTTCTTCGAGTATTGTGCAAGCTCTAGAATATGGGTCAACAGCTAGCCCCAGGTATTGGAAAGGATGACGGACTGGAGGCTTCGGTAGCAATCCTCTCGAAAATGTCGTTCACAAACGAGTTGAGAATGGCCATCGCCTTGTTGGAGATACCAGTGTCGGGGTGGACCTGCTTCAGGACTATGGACCAATGAGAATGGGCTGACCAGCACAGATGAGCAACGAACCCTTGTAGATGTAGGATGAGTACGTCTCCTTGCGGACTTTCTTGCGCTTTTTCTTCTCGCCATCGGCTGGTGCTGCGGCCTTGGCCGTCTTCTTGCCAGCCTTCTTCTCAGTTGTCTTCGATGGGGCTTTGGAGGCGGTGGCTGGGGCTTTCGACGCCGTTGAGGCAGGAGCTTTACCAGCAGTGGAAGCGGGTTTGGGTGCCATAGGTTATGAGGGGGGTGTATGAGAGGGTGGTGGTGGGTGGCAAGAAGAAAGTTGCGTTCTCAGCGTCACCCTCGGTTTATATAGGCTTCCGTGACTAAGCGGTATCAAATCATCAACAAACGCGGTGTGACAAACTGTGACGCAATAAACAACGCGTTTGTTGACGCGTCTGCTATGGACGGCCTGTTCATCTAGCCTCGTTCTATTCCTGAAGGCTGGTAGAAACCACAGTATCCCTGGTCTCTAAGTCCCACAATAGACACGCACTATATGCTGAAGCGTCGTTTACGATTATTTGGGTTGGCTGCTTCAAGCTATAAAAGGCAGCGTTATTCTGTGACCCATCATCTTTTGCTCTTCGAACTCAACCACCACCAACCCACCAACCCTTCGCATTCTTCCCTTCGCAATGTCTGGCAAAGTCAGCGGAAAATCCAAGTCGGGCAAGGCAGCTGGCGGCGGCGGCGATGGCAAGGCGCAATCGCGTTCCTCCAAAGCCGGTCTTCAGTTCCCTGTTGGTCGTATCCACCGTCTCCTCAAGAAGGGCAACTACGCCCAGCGTGTTGGTGCAGGAGCCCCTGGTCTGTCCGTTGTCACTTCCCCGTTCCTTTTCCTGACATTCTTCAACAGTCTACCTCGCTGCGGTCCTCGAATACCTAGCCGCTGAGATCCTCGAGCTCGCTGGCAATGCTGCTCGCGACAACAAGAAGCATCGTATTGTCCCTCGCCACCTTCAATTAGCTATTCGCAACGACGAGGAGTTGGGAAAACTTCTCGGCAACGTCGTCATCTCGCAGGGCGGTGTCGTCCCTCACATTGGTACAACCATCACTTTTTGTTTGCATTTTCTAAGGTGCTAATCGCTTGTGCAGATGCCGCGCTTCTTCCTGGTTCGCTTCCTTGTGTCGACTGTCTTGCTCGTTTTAACCTTCCACTCAGATGCATCCAAGAAGAAGGGCAAGGGCGCCCAGGAGTAGTCATTTATGCTTTTTTTATTTCCACTCAAAGTGAGTCTAGTGGTCGTTCACTGATGGATTATTCTAACGCGTGGTTACCAGACACGACCGTTAGGGTCTTTGTACTATCTTCGCTCGTGTATTTGTCGTATCTTGTAACATTCGCCATAATTCTATCTCGTCACTTGGGGTCTCCAGTAATAGTTGTGCTTCTCGAATAGACTCTTGTTGATGGTGAGACCTGTTTACTCCGCTCCATGATGACCGCAGTGACTTTCGAGCGCCCATCATGTCGCTCTGGCTTCTCCTCGCCGGTCTTTTTGCCTCTGGCTATAGCCAGTTGCAAGAGCCTCTGCAATTGACCAGGAACAAGGTTATCGACGATGCCCTGTATTCCTATGTCCTAAGTTGAATTTCTTGCCGTTAAATGACCCTCTTCTGACGACTTCTCAGGTGAAATGCAAGCAGGGAAGGCCGCTGGAGTGTCTCTGGCCATAGTCTGGGCAAACGGGGAGGTCGAATATGAAACCTGGGGCAAACGCGATGAGCATGAAGTACCAGTGACGACCGATGTGCGTCCAGACATCCCTCTCGTTCGTTCTGACCAGTCTCCACAGACGATGTTCAATCTTGGCTCGTGCTCTAAGGCGTTCCTGTCGGCTTCGCTGGGCATTCTAATGGACGATTTCTCCAACGGGGAGAATGCGACCTCCTTGCCCGACAGGGTCTCCGAGTTCAACTGGAACAGCAAGTTGATCGACCTTCTGCCCGGCGAATGGGCCCTCGAAGACGAGTGGGCGACCAATAACACTGACTTGAAGGATTTGCTCTCTCATCGAACTGGGGTACCAGCGTGGGTCCACCTGCCCATTTACGAAATAGTGCTCAATCCAAATGCAGACACGATGGCTCGTACTCTCCATACGAATCTCCGAGCGACATCGTTGCTAAATTGCGCCATTTGCGCAGTTCGGATGAGTTGAGGCAGCGGTATCAGTACAACAACATGGTATGTCCTTCACAAATCTTGTTCTACCCATTAACTCCAAACAGATGTATGTCACTGGCGCGCACATTGTGTCCAAATACTCGGGACTGGACTATCGCGACTTTGTTGAAGAGCGCATCTTCAAGCCACTGGGGATGAAGTCGTCGACGTTGTACCCTGACCGGGCAGCAGAAACCGGTCGTTTGACTCAGGCGTGGACTCCCCTGGCTGGTGGCCGCCGCATTCCGTTCTTCATGCCTGAGCACAGTGCTCCCCTTATTGCTGGTGCGGGTGGTGTCCAGTCTACAACGGAAGACATGGTGGGTTTCTTCATCTGATCTCCACTAATAATAATAATGTCTTTCCTAGGCGGCATATGTAAGGACCCTTCTGAACCAAGGCGTGGATCCGCGCACCAACAAGACCATTATTCCCAAATCGACATTTGACCTCGCCACCTCCGCCATCACGGTTGCAGTCGAAACCGGCACCGAGTCTACCTCCATTATGGGCTATGGACTCGGCTGGGGGCGTCTTTCATATCGTGGGCATGACGTGGTAACCCACAACGGCGGCGCTCCTGGGGTTGCGACTCGTGTCGAGTTCTACCCGCAAGACGGAGTCGGCATTGTTGTCCTGATCAACACTGCAGTCCAAGACACCCTGCGCAATATTTCGCGAAAGGTTATGGATCGCGTGCTCGGACTCCCTCCCCGCAAAAACAATCCGACTACAAAAGACCCTCCTCATCCACCGAAAGCTGTAGAAGTTGCGAAACCCATGCTCGGATTCGAGGGGTCATATGCCAACCCCGGCTATGGCAATTTCACCCTCTGCAGTCCTATTTTCTCGGGCAGCTCAGCATGCAAAGCTGTAGTCCACGACTTCCTTACCGTCGACATCCCCAGCGGGAAGTTTCCCCGCTGACTTTGGCGAACTTTATGCCCGCTGGCCGCGGTTCTGGGGCACACACATGCGTTTGACACCGCTGGAGGGAGTTGGTAGCTACAGCGTCACCCTAACGAATCTGTACCCGCACGGCTATGGAGACGACAAGGCGCCGTTTGAGGATCCGGCGAGCGAGGTTTATACCGCCAAGTTTGTGGTGGTGGATGGCGAGGTTGTTGGGCTCGGTTTCTTCGATGTTGCGATTGGGGATACTACGCGGCGCATGAGGAAGGGCGGGAGTGTGCGTGAGACTGCTGACGTGTGGTTCGAGAAATTATGATGGACATACAATAAGACACGAAAAAAACTGATTTTTGCATCAGGTCACGTGTACAATAGGGTTCATCTCTCATCTCATTGATCTCTCCCCTCTCCACATGTCAGAGGATCCGGCGACTCTCACCAATGACTCGGTCCCGTAGTACGCAGAGCGACTGCTCATCACCTCCTGTCACCCAAGATGACCTGAAGAGCGTACTTGAACACGAGATTCGCAACCACGTGTGGGAATTTTCCCCAATGAGATTCGCAACAAGGGTGTGCCAAAGGACGAGGAAAACCTCTGCGGACGTACTTGAAGTGAAACAGAGGATGGAAATTGCTGACGACATCGACCGGGCTGATTATTACGACCTGGCCGTCGATGAACCAGCGTTTCAGGAGGTTTTCGAGAAGTGCCGCAAGGACCTCGACACAAGCACCTTCATCTCGCGATTCCAAGCCGCTAAGGGTGGTATAGAGGGCAAACAGGATTGCACGCAACTCGTTGCCTTTTTGAATGCTTGTGTGGCCCTCGTAAAATCGAAATGTCCGGATCTCGCCGAAACATCAGTTTATTCGCAACTCGAATTCCTCGTCTATGGCCGACCCACACAAGACGGTATTGAAGGCGAAAAGCCATTAAAGCCTGATATCGTTGGCGTATCGTCCCCTGACTCGCAGAGTAGTGAGGACTGGCGAAACAAGCGCTTCTATTGGTGCCCCCCGAGTGCTACAGAGCCCCTGCCACCGAACGCTGCCGACATCCAGATCGGCATCCCTTTGGAAGTCCAAGATGAATGGCCCGAGCTCCTGCGACAAGCAGCCACATATGGGCATGCTCTATTCGCCGCGAATCCCCTGCGTGTCTATGCCCTTGTTCTCGCATGTAACCCTGTCGAGTGGGACTTGAGATTTCTGCTCTTTCATCGTGGCGGGCTGTCGTGCTCAAAGCCTTTGTCGCTCGTCACGCAACGCGGCCAGGAGGAAATGCTGTGGATCTGGATGGCTTTGTTCACATGCAAGACGGTGGGTGACATCGGCTTGCCGCCATGGTACAATGGGGTTGAAATGCTCTTGCCAGTTGGCGGAGGAGACGCAAAGTCATTGCATGCAAACATTGAGGAGGTTTTGCATAGTGCTGTGTGTTGTCGCGGTCGTGCTACGAACGTGTTCAAACTTTCATACCCTAACCGCCCCGTCGCCGATCTCGCCCCCATCACCACAGCTCGTCGTCCACAGACTCCAGCTTCGACCGTCTCCGATACCAAATCCGGTGCAAGCGACATTAGAAGATGTCATTGGTATGCGGATTTCTTTTGGCCAGGAAAATATATTCATATAGCAATGCAGATCAGCCCGTTACCGCTGAAAAAAGTCAGTAGGGACTCCTTTCTCATAGATTGATGCTGAAGAGCATGCACACTGTAGAGGGGGTGAAAATGGCGGGAAAGGCCAAGAAGGAAGATGTCAGCATAGCCGCATAAGCAGCCGGCTGGACACGTCACCCACATAGCCGTGTGAGTCACCAGAGCCGAGTGAGTCAGCAAGAGTGAGTCATCTGGGTGCTAGGCAACGCGGCGCCGAGTGACTAGGCAACGCGGCGCCGAGTGACTCAGTGGCTTGTCCGCAGCAACGGCTGAGGTATATAAAGGGCCCCCATGTAGTAGGTAGACCAGTGAATCCCCCCCTTCGGGTTCCCTCCCCTTTCGCGCCGCTTTGGGCCAGGGTTAACGGAAGCCGTCAACGACTAAGCGAGTACTGTATACGATCACGATCACGGCCCCGCGGGGTATTGTATTGAAGAACACCTGTCAACGTCGTCGCCGCTGTCGCCGTCGCCGTCAACGTCAACGTCGTCGGTCCGAGAGTGAATAGGTGCCCTTGAGTTGTTACCCCGTTCCCACGCTAGAACTGCTGCGCGGTTCATCGAGTTCTTGCCTATACACCCCTCCCCTTTCGTCGTCGGGTCTGGTACCCTTGAACCCACCTGCTTAGTCATCTCCGTGATCACGTGACCACACCGACTCTGTTTATGAGAAACAACTTGGCATAACCTTGGTTAGACTGTGACTATGCTCAGACGCATCTTGCCAAATATGGAACGTCGCCCTCACCTGATGGAGCGACCCATATCTGGAACATTATTGCTATATATGGCATATTGTTTGATGCTCTTGATGCTGGCTTCAGTGCTATCAGCAACAATAATAAAAAACAATAAATAACATATCAACAACAACAAATATATTCGATGTGACGGTGACTGTGACTACTACCCTTTTGGGAAGTTGCTTTGGTTTTGGTTTTGGTTTCGTATTGGGTTGGTGTTTAGAGGGAGTTGGTCTTTCCTCTTATGATATGGTGAGCAGGTCTCTTATGTACCCACACCCACACCCACACCCACACCCACATCCACATCCACACCCACACCCGCATCCACATCCACATCCACATCACCCACATCATCACTATCATCATTGACATCATCACCACTTACATCATCATCACTCTCTATCTATCTATGGTTCCCACTCAGCTTTGTCATCTTCCTCTTCTTCTTATGGGTTGCAGCATGCATATACTTTGCATGGAGCCCTGACCTCACTCAGTTTGATTTAGTTGTTTGTGTTGTTTGTGGAGTTTCCACTTTCATCATAGCTTCTATTTCATGCGTTTCATCTGGAGCCCACCGCGAGGGGCTCATCCACAAGAAGAAAGACAATGACAAGCTGGAGTTGGGACCACCACACCTTGTACCATGTGACTCTGCTGGCAGGGTCACCCACAATAACAACATTGCTGTCATCAATGCTGGCCATGATCAGCAACCCTTACCTATGGTCAACTTTCCATTGATGGGCAATCAGATGGAAGATAATATGCAGGGCAACATGCAGGGCAACATGCAGGGCAATATGGCCTCTGTGTTTATGGCTGGAAACTCACAGATACCTCGTCTGAAACAAGGGCAACCCTACTCTGGATCTAATGCAGCAGTTCCAGTACCAGCTTCTTCAGCTGTAGCTCCCTTTCGGATTCCAAGGTCATGGGAGGACCAATGCCCAAAGTTTACCAGTGATTTGATTGATGATCTGGTGGATTTTCTTGACAATATGGTCAGCATTTTCGAACTTGGCAGCATCAAGGATAAGCAGAAGAAGAAGGAGCTTCTGACAAGTTATCTGCCTACCAGGAAAAGGTTATTCTGGAGAGGACTTAGGACATATGGGGCTGCCTATTCATATGCTGCATTTATTGCAGAGATTCATTCCCTCTATCCAGAGTTGAAGGCAAGAGAAGTTGGAACATTGCATGGTCTGGAGGAACTATGTGCAGAGCATCAAGGACTTGAACTTGATAAAGAAGGACCCCTTATCAGGTTTGGAAGACAGTTTATGGTTCTGGTGGAGAAGCTCCAACAGGAACCTTCAATCTTGACAAATAGGGAAGCATGCAAGTATTACTTGGGAACATTTGACCATAGATCAGCAAAAGAATTGCAACAGGCAGTGCTGGATAGGAAGATAGGACAAATTGTTCTGGAAGAGCATGGTCTACAAACTTCAACAAACCAGAGACGTCGTGAAGACACTATTGCATTATCTGAATTGGTGAAGACAGCTGAAAGGCTTGCTGCAATGGGCACCATATCTATGAAGGATAATGATTCAGAGGAGCTCAAGGCAGAAACTAGCCAAGATATTGATGAAGCTCCATCAGAACATGAGGACCAGAAAAGGAACCAAGTGACCAGGCTAGACCAAGTCAGGAATCCAGAAAAGTTCACAGATCAGTCTAGAGTGGAATGGAGTTCAGGAAAACTGGTGGTGCAAGGACCAGGGTCACAAATGCCACAACTAGAACATGTGACAAACCATCCAAGGCTACCTATAGCTAGGTCAAGAGAAGCTTGGAGGACACCACTACCACAGCAGGCAAAGCCAGTTCAGCAGCTGAAAAAGATGTCTGTTTTTGCACAGGATGTAGATACTACAAGACATTTGACTGAACAGCTAGATGATTTACATGCAGACTTGCATGAGCAGTCTAGGCTTCTCCAAGAAGGACTTTATTCTGTGCTAGCAGATATGGACTCTAACAAGACCTCAAGGATGAAAATGGAGCATACACCAAGTCAAATGGAGGACAATATCAATCAGACACTGGGATATCTTGAGGACTCCCACTCTCACCTCAGAGATAAAGTTGATGGTATGAAGGAGGTCATGGATAGAATCCAAGAAGTCCAGAAATATGAAGGCACTGCACTCCAAAGTTTACAAGACCAGGTTAAGCAACAGATGTTGCATTTAGATCAGATGGAATCTAGTCTTGAAGGACTAGTCAACTCAACTAAACAACTGGAGTACTCAACTAGAGATGACATCAGTGATGCATTTGGAAAACTCCAGAATAACTTGAACTCACTACAGGCCCAATCATCAGAGCAGTTCAGCAGAAGCCAGGATACTATTGGCCAGATTGAAGACAAGATAGGACAGCTGGTACCAGATGATGGCGCTATGGTCCAAAGGGCATGGTTGATGAATTTTTACCGTGATCAATGGAATAGGGGCTTCCAGGGCAATGATCAATCAACATCAGGCCAGAAATTTGTTCCTTTATTGACCAAGAAGCAACGGCAAGCTATGGAGCGAGCAGATAAACAGATTCTAGATGCACAAAACTCTGGGAAGAAGATAAAGAAGACCCAGGGGAATAAGAAAGAAAAAGTCCAAGGGAGCCATGACACTTGTGGAAATGATTGACTCTACTCTGGAAAATTTGAATTTGGGGTTGAGTTGAAGAGTGGTCAAGAGAAATGAAATGCCACAATCCAAGAAACTGGGCCCTAATCACAGAGATGTGGCACAACATTGTTCTTGGAGGAGAAGCCAGATAAATATTGGAAGAAGAGAGGATTTTCTGATCTGGAAAATATGCAACATTGGCGCTGAGTGAGGACACTCAGGATTTTTCAATGGGGGAGATGAAGAGCATGCACACTGTAGAGGGGGTGAAAATGGCGGGAAAGGCCAAGAAGGAAGATGTCAGCATAGCCGCATAAGCAGCCGGCTGGACACGTCACCCACATAGCCGTGTGAGTCACCAGAGCCGAGTGAGTCAGCAAGAGTGAGTCATCTGGGTGCTAGGCAACGCGGCGCCGAGTGACTAGGCAACGCGGCGCCGAGTGACTCAGTGGCTTGTCCGCAGCAACGGCTGAGGTATATAAAGGGCCCCCATGTAGTAGGTAGACCAGTGAATCCCCCCCTTCGGGTTCCCTCCCCTTTCGCGCCGCTTTGGGCCAGGGTTAACGGAAGCCGTCAACGACTAAGCGAGTACTGTATACGATCACGATCACGGCCCCGCGGGGTATTGTATTGAAGAACACCTGTCAACGTCGTCGCCGCTGTCGCCGTCGCCGTCAACGTCAACGTCGTCGGTCCGAGAGTGAATAGGTGCCCTGTCAAGTGCCGTGCAGAACAGAGGGGGTTTCTACTATAGCTAACAAGCCAGTAGCTGCCTGACACGAATGAACACAAGACCAACCGGACCGGAGCGGAGTCGGAGCGGAGCAAGGTCCGCGAGCGGAGTGAAATCCGGTTGAAGGACAAGAGAAGAGAGAAGAGTTTTCGGAGTCGTTCCGCACAGAGGAGGAGTGCAAGTAACGTTTATAATCAAGCTAAAGTACCGTAGCTACTTTAGCTGCTTAAATACTACAAGTAAGTAGAAAGGGAAGACCATAAGTAAGTACAAGGTACGGAGTGCATATGGAAAGTAACAAGCATAAGGACATACGGAGATATAAGTAACAAGGCGAAAGACATACAGAGTACAAGGTCGCCGGAGCGACCGGATCGGATCGGGCCGGAACCCGGCGGACCGTGACCGGTCCGCGGGCCGCGGCACATGACGGATGCACGGATATGACAGTATCCCCCTCTTAGGCACGAGGCCTGCGAGAGCCCAGAAGATTCGATGGAAACCCTGCGGAAGTTTAAAATTAAATGGCTGCAGGGCCGCAGCTTGGCGCAGCAAAGGAATTGGCGGAAACGGAGGCGATGATCAAAAGTTTGTCGGAGAGTGCCGGATTCGTGGTATATAAGGCCGTGGGATTTCGTGATGGCGGACCCAAACTCTCTCCTCTCTACCACCACCACCATGTCGTTGCGCGCCATCCGTAAATACTCCGTTGCGGAGCGTACGGAGGAATAACTAACCGTTTTGTAGCCTGTTATCGCTGCGTCAAGAAGGAGCTGGAGTGCGTGGACCAGCCGGTGACGAAAACCAACGCGTCGTCGTGCGTTGAATGCGTGGACGCCAAGGCCGCCTGCGACTGGCCCGGAAAGCCTCCGAAGGCCAAAAGGGTCGTAAGACCAAAAGGGTGCGTGAAGCAGCCAACGGAGTGAAATCGAAACTGACCTTCGACTTAGCGAAGCTGGCCTATCAAAAGAGCATCGCGAGTTGCTCGAGCGGAGCCGCT